ATGGAAGCTAGTGGATGGATCGGCAAAGGGGGGTGGGGGATGGAAGCCAGTGGAGGCCCTCAGTGTAACTGGCCCTCAGAAGACCTCCTAGATACAGTCTGTACCTGGCCCTCAGAAGCCGCCCAGATACAGACTGTACCTGGCCCTCAGAAGACCTCCAGATACAGGCTGTACCTGGCCCTCAGAAGCCCCCCAGATACAGACTGTACCTGGCCCTCAGAAGCCCCCCAGATACAGGCTGTACTTGGCCCTCAGAAGACCCCCCAGATACGGACTGTACCTGACCCTCAGAAGACCCCCAGATATAGACTGTACCTGGCCCTCAGAAGCACCCCAGATACAGACTGTACCTGGCCCTCAGAAGACCTCCCGACCCCCAGATACAGACTGTACCTGGCCCTCAGAAGACCCCCAGATACAGGCTGTACCTGGCCCTCAGAAGACCCCCAGATACAGACTGTACCTGGCCCTCAGAAGCCCCCCCAGAAATAGACAGTAACTGGCCCTCAGAACTAACCTCCTTGCTTCGCCTCCCTCCGATAGTGGCCGGATTTGGACTTCTTCTTGCCTTTGGATTTCTGTCCGGGCGGAGTGCTGAGATTGTCTCCTGAGAGCAGCTTTCCTGTGAGCAGATCAACAACATAACATTAGGAATTATAAAGAAAGAACTCCACTGGGTTCTAGCAGCATTGGACCCGATAGGTACTGCTCTGTAAAGTGGGCACTGTCGTCGGATCTATGAGGATACCAGCGCTGGGACTTGTACAGCAATGAATATACTGGCAATGTATGGCATGGCAATGCAGATTTAATAGGTGTGTGGGGGGAGGGGCGTGCCCCTAGACCTCACACAAAGAGAACACACTGTACAGAGGACTCGGCGGTATTCATCTTCCTCTAATATTGGCAGATTAACATATTTTAATCAAGTCCCTATCGCTGGCTATAGCAGGGCTGCATGCTGGGGGGGGGGGGGGGGCTAGTCTCCAATTCTGCTGACTACACGAAAGACAACACCAATTTTTCATTCCACAATCACGGCGTAAGACGGATGATATCTGAATTTTGACGGATGGTGACATTTTAAGAAGGCAGTTCTTCCAAAATCTCACATAGATCCTCCCCCGCTACAGGAAAACCGCCCGTCCTAAAACATTTAAATAGAACCTGGCATTTGTTTAATAAGGTGAAGAAGCAAAGCGACCCATGGCAGCCAATGAGAATTCATCTTCCATTACACGGCCTTTTGATTGAAGGCGGATTAGTGTTTTTGCTGCTTTATCGAGACCAGTGGTTCTCAACCTGTGTAGCCTCAGGACCAGGGGAGTAACTAGAAATCACAGGGCCCCATAGCAAAATTTTGAATGGGGCCCCGTGATTACTAGTTATACCCCTTGCAGAGCCCACTCGAGATCCCAGCTGAGGGTGAACCTGCAGAGCCCACCATAGACTCTCTATGGTGGGCTCTGCAGGGTCACCCTCAGGGGGCGCTGGTTGCACTCCTTACCTGTCCGCCTCCTCTTCGTCCACGCTCGCTGATGGGGCCCGCCTCCTCCGTCGCCGGGCCCGCCTCCTCCATTGCCGGGCCCCGCCTGCTCCCCTGCTGCCGACCACGG